TACTGGGTGGAGATTTTGCTGCGAGGAGGGTGGAGTCTACTTGCCATCCAGGTGCTGACCTTACTACACAGACCACAGCACTACCGAAGGCTCTGTCATGGAAGAGATGGTTTCTTGAAGAAGGAATAGGAACAGAACATCTGTGGGTAGAAATTTGCTGAAAGGAAATTTGGAAAACTGACATTGAACTTAAAGTTGACTAATGATAAATTCATAGAAAATTAAGCAAATCGAAAAATAAGACTTATGCACTTCAGAAAAAAGAAAAAAGTTGTACAGTAAAAGAAAAGCAATCATGGCTTACGTGGCTCTGACAGCTCACATGATCATCATAATGTTGACTCTGAAAATTACTCCAGTCAGCTCTGTAGTTTTAACTATAATTATAGAGTGGAGAGATGGGAAAGGACAAGTCTGAGGGGGTGGCTTAGGGAGAAACAAGGTTTACAAGGACTGAAGAAATCCTTGTCAAGCAGGATGGCTGATGCCTATAATACTACCTACTCATTCCAGAGGATCAGAGTTTGAGATCAGCCTGTACAAAAAGTTTGTGAGACTGCATCTCAGTCAATAAGCTGACCATGGGGACTTGGGAGGGAAGATCACAGTCTAAGGCAGGTACCTGGCAAAAAGTGAAAAAAAGGTTTCCCATATCTGAAAAATACCCTAAAGTAAAAAGGGCTGGAGGACTCAGATGGTAGAGCACATGCATAGCAAGTGTGAGGCCTCGAGTTCAAGACCAGTATTTCCCTTTCCCCCTATAAAACAAATCTCCCTGCATGGAAAGAGTTCAGCACAGCTGAAAGACTAGGGAGTAGCAATACAAGCATATTGTGTACAGTTGTTTCCTAATAAATACTCAGGTATGAGCAAGAAAGAGTCAGCCCTGAGAAAGGGAAGGTCTGGCCCAGGGACAGGGCTAGCGTCTTCTGTTGCCTAAACAATAGGTCACCCTTACACGGGGTACAGGCTTAGTCTTATCTAAGACAAGAGAAATCTAGAAAGTGAGGCATGTGATAAGGGCGCTAAGTACAGTTTCAGGAGACATTTTAGTTGTATGTGCAGGTGTGCAGAGTGGATTGGGTTTGTTAACTCCTTTGGAGGGTGGTAAGAAGGATTGACCTCAGGGCCTTATTCATGATAGTCCAGTGCTTTACACTGAGATTTGGGCCTGGATGATTAAGCTTTATCTTCTTGTGCGACGTAGGCAATTGGTAGTCATTGTTTACTGATTTCTCATTGCCAGTTCACTGTCACACTTCTGAAGTGGTGAAATAAATGATAAAAGGTCAGTAGGGGGGAATGTTACAGCCTAAGAAAACACTGAGGTAGGTGCTGCAACGTGCTCCATCTTCATTCATTCATTCATTCATTCATTCATTTTCTGTGCTGGTACTGGTGCTTGAACTAGACACTGCCCCTTAGCTTTTTTGCACAGGGCTAGTGCTCTACCACTTGTGTCCCGTTTTTACATCCAGCTTTTTCTTGATTAATTTCTCATGGATTATGTTTGAACCTTAGATCTCAGCCTCCTGTTTAAGCTAGGATGATGGCAGCTGTGAACCACTTGGCTAGCCTAACTTTATTTTTTTTGGGTGTGTGTGTGAGGGGGGTTGGTTGATGTCTGTGATGTTGCCTTCCAAAGGATATTGGTGTGGTGTGCTGGGTCTGAACGTGTCTGCCACCAATAGTGGTAGGCAGTTGGTTAGACTAAAATGTGTAAAATAGTGTCTCTGGGTTGTCTTTCAGTTTTATCTCCAGCAATGGTGAATATTTTTTATACTGTTAATGATCTGCTTGCCATTTCCATATGCTGGCCATATTCTTTGTTTACTTGAAACCAATTTCTGTTTTATTAAATATAAATCTCCCTGTGTTGTAAATATTTAACCTTTGTCATAATTGCTGTAGTAAAAAATTATCATTTGTATATTATTTTAATGTTACTTTTAATCATGTGGGACTTTTATATAATCTTGTACTTGGGATTCATTGTTTTTTCTTTCTGTTGTGTCAAAAGGGAACATGATTAATCTGGGCCTGAAATACCCTGTTCTCAGGGTGTTTGGGCACATGCAAGTGTGTACACACACACTTTAGATATTTAGATTGATTTTTGCTTATTTAATTATTCTCAGATTGCTAATCAACTACACTATTAAATAATTCTACTTTTGCCTCTGTTTTCAGAAGTTGATGAGTTGATAAACATATGCCTATTTGCCATGTAAATGCTTTATTTTGTATTAATAAGTTCTTGGAGTTGAGACAGCTTGAGGTCTTGCCAGTTGTTTTCTGTGCACACAAAATAGCTTCTCTGCTGGAGTGTTGCTAAATGGTATTTATGAAAAGTTTACCTGTCTGCATTCAGAAAGTTAAGTCTTTTGTGGAGTGTGTTTGTGTGTGTGCGTGCGTGTGTGTGTGTGTGTGTGTGAGGGGGGGGGAGACGGAGAGACCATGCATGTGTGCATGCTATAGAAATAATACTGGCTTTAACTGAACCTAGTAGGTAGAGGGCATCTCTGATATGATTTAGTTTAGCAAATAGAGGCCAGGAACCAGGATCACTTTGGAGTTCTCTTGGGCCTGATCTGGGTTCTAGTTTCAACACTCTTTGCCTTTATTGCTGTCATGGGCTTTTGGGCAGTGTGGTCATTGCCTCTCTTGGTGGCTCACAGAGTGCTCAGTCTTTTGTCCTTCCCTGAGGTTCTGAGGCTGCTGAGCTGCTATACCCCAGGAACATGGCACTGGCCTTGTCCTCCACAAATGGGAGGCACTCTGGCCTGTTGAGGGGTGGGCTTAGGCCGAGGTTCAAGCAAATGTTTCCATATCTTCACAGGGCCCCAGAACCAGAGGCTGCCTGAGGCTAGGGGAAGAGGTGGAGGGAAGTGGGTGAAGAAAGACTAAATTTTCTGTCTTTTGTAACAGTTTCCTCTTCTGAGTGTTGAGGATAGGGAAATCAGTGGTTTTGGGACATCCACACCCCAAGACCTGAATTCTCCTTGTTTGACTCCATGGGTTGTTAGCGGCAGGTGTGTCATGGGTCATGTTGAAAGCAGCATACTGTGTGAGGGCTGAGCAGGGTCTGTCTGTGGTGCAGTTCTGAGTGTTGGAGTTACCTTGAGAGCTGGGCTTGCAGGATGGGCAATCTCTGACCCATATTATGGCTTGCGAAATAACTTGCTTTATGATGGGACAGACATGTAGGCTTCTGGTCAGCATAGGTGCTATTTATAAATATCCAGTGGCCCTTGGCAGAAATAAACTTCCCCATCCCAGAGAGCTTATATCCTGATGGGTGTGATGCTCCAATTGGGTTTGGCCTCCCGCAGCAGCTGTGCAAGTAAGCTATTTCCTGGTGGGGGTAGGAGGGGGTGGGGGGATGTGGATGGAGGAAGGAAAGGGGAGGGAAAGCTGGAGGACTGTGGAGGGTCCCAGCACCCTCAGGAGCTCTGGCACCCTGCTTTCTGCCACCCCATGAGGGCTCATGAGCTTATCCATTTCTTTTTCCAGACTCAGTTGCCTGTAGGGGAGAGTCCCTGTGTCACAGCAGAGTGGTCCTATCCCCATGGCTTGTGGCAGAGGAGCAGGGATGAATCTGCAGTGCTTTTGCTAAGTGAGGTAGTTTCGCTGTGGAGCTATGATCACAGAGAAAGCGGGGGTGTTCTGGCTTTATTGCCTCAGAGCTTTGTTGGCTTAGAGCTTCTGGAACAGTCTTTTGCCATGCTGGGTTAAAGGGTAGCTAGGGAGTACCTCCCAGGATTCCAACACATTCCAGGCTTCTCCAGAAACCTCAGTGAAGAGGGAAGTGTGGGGGACCTGGATTGCCTTGTCTGTGAGAGGGAACCGGCTTTCCGTTTCTATCACATAGGTCACTTTCCTCCTGCTTCAGAGCACGTTTCTAGCCGAGTTGGCTGCCTGCGAATTTTAGCTTACAAACTTGGGTTTTAATTCTCAATCAATTTTTAGGTTTACTTCTTTTAACGACATGCATTAGTCCTGCCATCTGTAGCTTTTCATCATCACTGCCAGATGCCCCAAAGCAAAAACTAAGCAACCCCCAGCGCTTGGGGCTCCAAGTTAGTGAAATACTGAACTAGGTGAATGTCATATGGCGTCTAGCTGACTTTAGGAGCCAGCTTGATCCTCTGCCTTCACAGGATCAGTGAAGGGATTGGCAAAAGCCTGTCTGTGCTGGTACCTGGTTCACTGGGCTGGATCGGGGCTGTATGGTTCAGTCACCTTAAGAATTTGTCAGTAGTGCAGTTTCAGGGCCCAACCCAGGCCTACTGTACAGAGTAGGGGTTCGGATACTGGGCTCTTGGTGTCAGGGAGACCAGGGACTGGTCAGTGAGTCCCTGGTTTGGTTGGAGACCCTAGGTTCCAGGAGAGCAGGGCTCCGGCTGAGGGCAGGCCATGCCGCTGTCGCTGGTCTGTGGCTCTGCTCAGAGTGCCTGTGCTTCTCCTTGCCTGTGTGGCCCTGGCTGCTCAGGCTCCACAGCTGTTTTCTGGCACACGGAATACTGCACGAAAATTTTTTCAGAAGTGTTCAGATGGTGGGAGACTGAGGGTGGTGGGATGAGTGGGTTCGAGGTAATTGTCCTCTCTCTGACTAGGTGTGTATATATGCTGGCACTGGGGCTTGAACTCAGAGCCTGGGCCCTGTTCCTTAGCATTTTTTGTTCAAGCTTGTCTCTGTTATTTGAGCAACACCTCTACTTCTGTCTTTTTGCTGGATAATTAGAGATAAGAGGTTGATGGACTTTCCTGCCCAGGCTGGCTTTGAACCGGTGATCCTCGGATCTCAGCCTCCTGAGTAATTAGGATTACAGGCGTTTGGCTTCCTGGTTAGGGTGATGAGGTCAGGAGGCCTGCAGCCTCTCACATCCCTCCGGGCTGAGTAGTCACAGGACCTATTTATTTCAGGAGGAACAGGAGTCTGTGTTTCTTCTTTTTTCTTTCTTTGAACTTGGAGCCTGGGTGCTGCCCCTTAAGCTTTCCAGCTTAAGGCTAGGCTCCAACCACTTGTGACGCCTCTCTATCTCCAGCTTTTTGTAGTAAGTTGGAGATAAGAGTCCTGAGTTTCATTTAGTCTCCTTCCTGGGCTGGCTTCAAATCTTGATTTTTCAGCTCTCAGCCTCTAGTTAGGATTACAGGCGGGAGCCGCTGGCTTTTGCGTTTGAAAACTGACTTTGATTCTTGTGTCACCTCTGCCACTGACAGTAGACCTGTGTTTGGGCTAGCAAAAAGATAGGAGGAAAACTGTGATTGAGTTTCTGGAGTGTGTGGAGCCGTATCTTTGCCCATTGTTGGGGGAGCAGCTCTGGGAGGTCTTACAGCTCAGCCTGCCCTCTCACTGGTCACTGTCTCTACAGGTCCCGCTTCTCAGAAGATGCACTATTACAGATATTCGAACGCCGAGGTCAGCTGCTGGTACAAGTACCTCCTCTTCAGCTACAACATCGTCTTTTGGGTAAGCGTGGCAGAGGATCTGCTTTCCTTTGTGTGTCTTTCATATTTTGCTGGCTCAGGGATGAGCTAATGGCATTCTCCATGAGCCCTGACCTCAGAACCATTGAGGAGTGCTGTGATGGGTGAACCAATGATGGATGAAAGGCCCCAACCCAACCTTGGGGATTGGAAGGCTCTGTCCCAGAAGCCCTCGCCGTGGGACATGGGCAGCAAGGCACTTTGTACTCATTTGACTGTGGCCAGGACCTTTCCTAGGTTCTGGGAGGTAATAGAGAGAGAGCAGGAAGAAACTCTTTGGGTAGTCAGGGAAGAGCTTTCTGAGGAGACCTGGAGCTTTCTGGCTGAGACCTGAATATTAACGAAAAGGTAGCTAAGAGTCTGAGGAGGCTCCACGTAATTAGAATGGCAGTTGCAAATGTCCTGAGGTAGGAATGAGTTCAGCAGGCGCAAAGAACAGAAGAAAGGCATGCAGCTGGAGTTGTGAGGAAGGGGACACAAGCGAGGACAGCTCGCGGGAGCTAGGTCAGGAAGGGTCACAAAGGTCCCAGTAGGCAGTTGGAATTATTTTCTCCTTCTTTGAATAACTCTTGGAAGATTGTAAGCTGTACGGTGTGATCCTGACTTGGCAGTATCTGCACAGGGAGGAGAAGAGGGTGGTGTGAACCACATTTGAAAGTGGGGTTTGGGGAACTGTTTGATAACTTTGAGCTCCCTGTGGAGATAGGGTTCCTTTGTTGGTGGCCATCTTGAAAATGAGTTGGCCATTTGAAGAAAGGGTAAGCTATTTGAGAGCCTCAAAACTTGGGGAGAGGTGCAAGTCTGGAGTCCAGGGGTGCTGGAGGCTGGGTGGACGAGGACCGTCTGCTCAGAGCTGACTGTGAGTGAGTGGTCCATGATAAAAGGACGGCCAGGAGATTATGGAAAGCTGGCGGTGGCTTGGTCAGGTGGGGGTGGCCCTGACTGAGCTGCTCCGCGCTCTGGGGGCGGGGCGGGACGAGGGGGATGGAAAGTCTGCCATCAGAAAGTGCAGAAGGGAGAGGTGACTGGGGGAAATGGTTCTTTTGGGGGCCCTTGCCTTAAAGGGAAGAGAAATTGGGCACGGGCTAGAGATGGTCACGAGTAATGGGAATGGGGCTATGTGTGTCTTTGCCAGTGGGGTTGGAAAGGGAGAGGCTGACATGGATGATGCCACACAAGCATATAGTAGCAAGGCCAATTAATGGGTTAATCCATACTATCTGTTGTCATTTGGATCTTGAATGTCCCCCAGAGGCTTGGTCCCCAGTTTACTGGTCTTGCTTCTATTGGGACATGGTGGAATCTTTAACAGATGGGCCCTTGTGGAAGGTCTTAGCGACACCCTCCCTACTACCCCCCCTCCCCCCCAGGTCTCACATCAACAGAGCCAACCAATCATGGACTGAAACCTACAAAACCTTGGGGCCAAACAGCTTTTCTTGTTTGTTTGTTTTTTTTTGTCGGTCGTGGTGCCTGAACTCTGGGCCTGGGCACTGTCCCTCAGCTCTTCAGCACAAGGCGAGCCCTCTACCACTTGAGCTACAGCGCCACTTCCGGTTTTCTGGTGGTTTATTGGAGATAGGAGTCTCACAGTCTCTCCTGCCCCGGCTGGCTTTGAACCTCGATCCTCAGATCTCAGCCTCCTGAGTAGCTAGGATTACAGGCGTGAGCCACCAGTGCCTGGCAGCGTTTCTTGTTGAAAACTGATGGTCTTGAGTATTTGTTACAGTAAGGGAAAGCTGACTAGCCCTGTCTGTGTCTGGGGCAGATGGAGGAGGAGGGTCAGCCCAAGTGCTAGTGAGACCCCATTTTTACCACTATGGTAGATTTGGCCATTCGTATTGGGACTGGAACTCTTGTGAACCAGGCAGCCTTAAAAAGAAGTCTCAGCTTTTCAATCTCTATTTTACACATTAACTCCCACTGTCTTATTTCAATGTATTTGGGGGGTGGGGTGGGATTCCATGGCTTGCCTTTCATCACAGGTCAACTTCCTGTGCTCTGATACCTTTCCTCCAGTAACTTTATCACTAGCTCTGGAGTAGGACGACATTGTTCTACATTTGATGTGGTGCCTATGACACCTCCCTGATGGGCTGTCCTTGCTGTGTGTGGCATCCCAGACCTCATTGCTCCTGTCTGGAGGAGAGCCCTCTGTCCCCCCTTCCCCTGTCCCTTTCCCAAGCCAGATGTGTCATGGGGGAGGGGCACACATGGGCTTAATGGGCAGCCTGACATTTTGAACACTTATGCATCTGGCTATTGCCCCTCCGACTGTACTGACCTGACTCATGCTGATTTTTTTTTCTTTATGGAAATTAAATGATTACATACATTTCACAGCATTGTGGGATAGTGATACTTAGCTAAAGTCATAAACACATTTTAACCTTCACATGGCGCATTGTCATTATCATGGTCTATAAAGCTTATGAACTCTACAAACTTTGACACTACAACTATTTTTTCCAAATCGGGTGACACATCCTGTTTTTTTGAAACTAGAGTAAAACTTTTACTGCTGCCATAGTGGAGGGCATGGACATTTCTGTTTCTTGAGAGGCTCTTTGGAACAGAGCCTTGGCTCTGGGGCTGTTGTACTCAGCTGCCCAGGGACACGTTTTCACGCCAGCTCAGTGACCATCCTGAATCTAGTGTTTCATTGCTGTGTTCATCCTTGTGTCTGAGCCACCTCTTAAAGGTCTCACATCTAAGTTTTGCAAGATAAGAATTCCATGGGTGGATGGTAGTGATGGTCGCCCTGTACTGCGAATACACGTAGTACAACAGAACTGTATGGTTAAAAATGTATGCTATTTAAGTTTCATATCATGCATATTTACCACAATCAGAATTTTTAAAATCTCACTCTTTGGCTTTCAGAGGGAGGGAGGTTGGGCGAGGGGACTCTGGAGGCGTGGGACAGCTGTAGCTCTCTGTCTTTACATCCCACCTGGCTCCACAGAGAATGTGAATTTTCCTGGGTTTGCTGGGTGAATTCTCTAGAGGGGTGGGTACTGCCACCTGCTTCTCCAGGATTGCCTGCTTCTCCAGGATTACTTCCCACTGAAGACATTGCCTTTAATCTGCAAAGCCCTGGTCTAGATCTGTTTTAGAGAAAGATTAGAAATGAATTTAGACCTAGGTATCGGTGGTTCCTATAATTCTAACTACTCAAGAGGCTGAGGATTGTTGTTCAAAGCCAGCTCGGGCAGGATAGTTCATGAGACACTTATTTCCAATACATTACTCCCAAAAGCCAGAAATGGAGAAGCTCTGACTCAAATGGAAGAGCACTAGCTTTGAGCAAATAGAAGCTCAGATACAGTACCCAAGCCCTAAGTTGAAGCCCCAGGCATCAAAAAAACCTCAAACCTCCAACAACTCATATCTGTTCTAAGTACAGATGATAGGCTTGTATTACTCAACAAGGAGACACCTCTGCTTATCTTTAGTTTAAAAGTTCTTCCATTGGCGTCTTTAGGTAAGTCTCAGCTTTCTACTTAGACAGTTTGTGAATTAGCCGTTGAGCTTACTTAACATGTGTCCTGTTTCCAAATGAGACGAGACTATAGGTATTTGTGATATGGGACATCATGGTAGCATGGTCCAGCCCTCCCCTCTCCCTCCATATTAAATCGTTTCTGTGATTATGGTGAGCATGCAATTTATGGTCCAAATTGGAACAACAGGTACACCCTGGGCCTGTCTCAGGCATACCAGGACCTGTGGTCATCCTACTCCACAGGGAAAACAAGGCAAGAGTGAAGGAATTAAAGACACTCTCTCATGTGTATAGTGCCTTTGTGGGTGTAGTCTGCATCCTTTTGTAGCAGTCTTTTGTTTCCAGAGTTTTCTAATTGATGGGAAATGTGTGTGTGTGTTTTGTGTCATCATCACACACACACACATGCACACACATGCTGCTTTGTACTGGAGTTTGAATGTTTGAACTTAAGGCCTTCTGCTTGCAGCTTTTGCTGTTTATTTTGGAGATTGAATCTAGTAGATTTTTCTGCCTCGGTGGTCTTTCAACCACGATCCTCCAGATCTCAGCCTCCTGAGTGGTTCTGATAACTGGGTTTCCCAGAGAGAATTGCTTTGTTGCAGTTGAACTCTGTCCAGGGCTATCAGACCCGGAGGCCTAGTCCCCAGGCCAGAGTGAATGTAATGTAAATGTTTTCTCTGCTTCCTTTTTTTTTTTTGTGCTGCCTCTGGGGCTTGAACTCTGCTCAAGGCCAGCATTCTACCACTTGCGCCACAGTTCTACTTCCAGCTTTTTTTTTTTCCGTGGTTAATTGGAGCTAAGAGCTCTGGGCTGGCTTTGAATCTCAGTTCTCAGATCTCAGTCTCCTTGAGTTGCTGAGATTATCAAACTACTAGTGCCCGCTTTCTGTTTCCATTTCTCTTTCTCTCTTTCTTTCTCTCTTTTTCTCTCTTTCTTTCTCTCTTTTTCTCTCTTTCTCTCTCTCTTTCTCTCTCTCTCATTCTCTTTCTCTCATTCTCTCTTTCTCTCTCTCTTTCTCTCTTTCTTTCTTTCTTTCTTTCTTTCTTTCTTTCTTTCTTTCTTTCTTTCTTTCTTTCTTTCTCTCTCTCTCTCTCTCTCTCTTTCTTTCTTTCTTTCTCTCTCTCTTTCTTTCTTTCTTTCTTTCTTTCTTTCTTTCTTTCTTTCTTTCTTTCTTTCTTTCTTTCTTTCTTTCTTTCTTTCTTTCTTTCTTTGTCAATTGGGGCTTGAACTCGGCCTGGGTGCTGTCTCTCAGCTCTTTAGCTCAAGGCTAGGACTCACTTGAGCCACAGCGCCACTCCTGGTTTTCTGGAGGTTTATTGCAGATAAGAAGAGTCTCCTGCAATGCTTGGTAAGAAATGTACGCATTATCCTGCCCATGTAATTGTAACCCTTCTGTACAGTATGTTCACAAAAAAAACAAATAAAAAAAAAAGAAGAGTCTCATGAACTTTCCTGCCCCGGGCTGGCTGTGAACC